TTTTTTGTTAATAACTTTTTAACGAGTTAGGTCCGACGGTTAAAACTTCCTCAAGGTCACTCAGGGTCATGACCTTGATAACATATGTCAAGATCAAGGTCATTGGGGGAGGCTCCCCTAATCTACATTTTTACCAAAAATCAATATTGTTGTAATTAAATATAATAGATAAATTTTTTAAAATAATTGTTAATGAAACACATAAGAAATATCATATATACATATCATATATCATGTATATTTGTAAATAACTACTATGACAGTTATTTATACATATATAGCATCACATATGTTAAATCACATTAACATAAATTACGTCAAGTTAAATTACGAGATCAAATATTATTTTTTTAAATTATATACTTTTACTGCTGAATGCATTTTGTGAATAATTTTGGGTTTTTAAAGTTTAAAAATCATAAAATTTTCCACAATATTAGTTGAAAATTATATAAAAAATGTGTCTATATATATATATATACACAATATATTATACAAAATGACATATAATTTTATATAATTGTATAAAACATTTTTTCCAGGGAAATATCAAAACTAACATCACATCGACGCATTATTAATTGATAGATAATTTGATAATCTATTTTAACATTACAGGAAAATCTAAGAATATTTATTAACCTCATTGTGTTGGTTAACCTCATGCTGTCGACGACGAAGAGTAGTGTCGGGGATAGGAATATTTAAATTTCGGAGATATTGTTTATATGGACCTCGATGTGACATTTCTTTTTATAAAAAAAAAAACTATTAACTTGTAATTTTATTATTTAAATTTGGAGTTGATTCCTTCAGACTCGTACAGCTTGCTAATGTTAGCGGGAGATATTAGAATATTGCCCCATATAAGGCCCGAACATGCCGTTTTTACGTATACGGTACTGTAATTACTGCACACTGTGCACCATATGCTATTCGATCATGCGCAGATCGAATTTATTTTTATAACTGGAAATAATTTGAACAATTGCCACCACAGAGTTATCATCTAAAGTCAGCGGCACACGATGCTTGTTTTCTTGCTGGATCGCTAGCTGGATTAAAATCTTGCCATACTGTTTTGGCTGTGGCAAGCACCGTGCTAACAGTGACAGTATCGCAGCCAATTCGATGGTAAGAATTTGATCCAGCTAGCAATCCAGCAGGAAAACAAGCATCGTGTACCGCTGGCTTAAGTGTGATGTACTGGGCTGGCAACATTCTTATTATTGACCTATAAGAAGTTATTTTGTTTTTTTTACAAATAACGCGCGTGTTTTCGGCGTGACGACGTCGTAGACGCAGGCGCTCGGTGTCCGTTTGGGTAACGCCATGTTCGCGGGCATTGCTTCACTTTTGTTTTTATTGTGCATTGGACGTGATCTAGCCATATTGCCTTCGCTCATTTTTGGAAGGCAGGAGCCATTATTTAAGAAGAAGAAGTTCTATCGCATCGTGAAAATTTTAAGAGTGCAAATAAGTGTTAAACAAGTTAAAGTTATGCAAAATAAACTGTCGGATGAAAAGTGTCTCGTCGTGCAGTTTATAAATGAGAGACATAAACCTGTTCAAGTAGGCTTTCAAGCCTGGCTAAAGGAGGAAAATAATACTAAAGGAAACTCAGTCTCCTCGAGTCACCTCCTAGACTCTGAGGTGATCATTCGATGGCCCAAAGGAGAAGATATTAAATGTGCCCAAATGATGGAAAAAATTATTAAGAAGAAGAGTATTATTTGGGAGGACTTGGTTGTAAGGGTGAGATCTCTGGGAAGTAAGTAATATTTTTAACATAATTTAATATATAGAAGAGAGTTGCCAAGTGTACCTGATTGTCTAAATCTATTTTTCTCGTTTAATAATATTTTTTATTTTTATTTAATATAACTTACATTTATTGACAAAAATATAAAATACCGTAAAACGGGGTTATTTCGCTCAAATTTTATAGTTTTTTGAAAAAAAACTATGGGTAAAAGGTAAATTAAATATTGATACTGAAAATATATAATCTCTAACTCTTCCTCTTTCATATTAAAACCTGAAAAAATTATTATATATTGTATAAAATTATTTATGTACCTATCTTTATGCAGTGAGCGAATTTACCCCTTAATGAGGGGTTATTTCGCTCAACTTTCATTAAAAGGTAAAATATATTTATTTACGAAATGCAATCATTTTATAGAATCATTGGCAAAGAAATAAGATATAAATAACATTCAAAATCAATAAAATAAATATTTTTTGACATTTTGTATTTTATATTTATTAGAATTTATTCACAATACAACCGTAGTCATAAACGGTTTACAAATTAGAAAAATAATATCTTTCTTTAGTCTTACATTTCAATTCTAGTTTAGAAATGATTTCTTTTCTTTCTATGTTTTGTACATCAGGCACAAGTGGAAAAACAAAATGAATATTCTTTTTTTCTTTCTTTTCAAGAAATTCGATCTCAAAAACATTTTCATCAATATCGGTGACTATTTGTCCTACTCGTAATTTTTTCTTTGAGTCTTCTCCGGATGTTGATTTTATTGACACAAAATCCTTGTCTTTCAAAATCAATTCAATTTTTGATTTATCCTTACTGTCATTGGCAACGATAGCATTGAAGTCATCTTCATAATCACTCTCATCGGATTCAACGATTTTTCTCAGGCCTACCCGGTCGCCTTTTTTCTTTCACTTCATCCAAAGATTCGGCATTCTCATTTTCAACGAGTATTTTTGTTGGTCTCCCACGTTTTTTCTTTTCCTTTCCCTTTTCCAGCTCACTTTTCTTGAAAGAATCCACATCCTCGATACTCACGCTGTTCCCAGGCTCAATTTTGAGTTTATTACTGCTACGACTCGAACGTTTATCTGATGATGTTTCAGATCTTTTTGTTTCCAGATAAGAGATGAATGTATCAAGTACAACAGCAGAGTTTTGCTTACTTTTGTCTGCATTTAGTAACTTCTTTAAAACAGATTCTCTAGCAAGTGGTATGATACCGCAGGCCTTAAATCCAGACTTGATGTTCACCATCATTTTCTCGCCAACTTGTTCAACTGCAGATTTCAAAAGGCTTGGAAAAAGTGCTTTCGGTATTACTCCACGGTTTTTACTCTTCCATATATTCAATACATTTCTCCAACTGTTCTTCAACGATCGAAATACAGCGACGTCCAATGGTTGGGTAAGGTGAGTTGAATTAGGTGGCAATAAGATGAAACCAATATCATTTTCTTGACATTGAGAAATTACCATCTGAGAAATGTGACTAGGTAGATTATCACCGATTAGAGCTTTTTTACCAGGAAGCTTTTTTAAAAAAGGTAAACATATTGTCATAAACCAATCTTCAAAAATGTTCATGTCGAACCATCCGCTTTCGTTTCGGTTGTACCGCGCACCTGTAATTCCTCCTTCAACCCATGTAGGATAAAGATTCTTCGCCTTGTAGACCGTATAAGGAGGAAGCAATATACCATCCCCAGTTGCAGCGAACATAACGCTTGTGGAGGATTTAGAAGAATCAATTATTCGCTCTGGATGGTTTGTACCTCTTTTCACGATGACTTCAACGCTTCCAGGATCATCTGAGAAATTGGTTTCATCGTAATTAATGATATTTGATGGAGGAATCCCATTTAGGGAGATTTCTAAATTATCAAAATAGTTGTTGATAATTTTGTCATCAACTTTAGCTCTGCATCTTTTAATATTTTCGCTTAAGCGTAAAGACAAATCGGCATGACGTTTAAAAAATGATGCCACCCAATCTCGACCTGGCCTATTATTTTTGAAGCGAGTTTGACGTTTTAATTGAGTCAAGTACATTTGTACAATGTTGCGGAGGTCATGAACTGTCAAAGGAAATCCCCAAGATCCAGCAGTTTTCAAAGCTTCGACAACTGTCGTTTCTTCGGTACTCGATAATTCGCAAGGATGGCCATGTTTTTTAACATGTTTATTTTTTAATTTGTCTCTTATGGTAGAAAATGGAACTTCGTACTCTTCTGCAATTTTTCTAATTGATCTTTCACCTTTTCTACATTTTGCGATTGCATTTTCTAGTTGTTCTGTTGAATACTTGAAGTATGCTGACGAATCCGCCTTCCTTTTATATATTCGTCCCATGAGCGAAATAACCCTACAAAATTCAAATTTTTTGAAAAAATGATTTTTTTCAAAATCCATTTAGTTTTGTCAGGTTATTATCAGGTTATAATCATGTCAGAGACATAAGAAAATAGATTTATAGGTGCATTTGACACAAAATTTATTAAATAAAGTTATATAACCGACTATTGCACACTACTTGTTTAATGTGCAAAATAGGTATTTATAAACAATAACTATTTTTATTAAAACTTACCGATAATTCTGCTTCAAAATACATTCAAAATTCACTTTGACACTTCTATTAATAAAAACAGTTGAAAATCTTAGATTTTTCTCTCTAGAAACAGTGATATTTAAATTTTGAAAGAAAGGTTACCGTTGAGCGACTTTACCCTACATGAGCGAAATAACCCCGTTTTACGGTAAATGAGAAACGAGTAATACATAATGTATACACAAGAATTTAACAGGTTATATCTTAATGCAAATAACATTTAATAATCTTATAAAATCTATCTGGTTTCCATATTAAATCTCACTTACCATCAATTTTATTACAAAAAAAATGGTATTAATGTTAAACTACTAATTGATTTTAATAAAATTAATAATTGGTATGACTAAAAATGTATTACTGCAAAAATTAATTTAAGCTATTATCATTTTGACATTTTTATCTTATGTTACTTTTTTTAATAAGCAATGTTCCCAACTCTGTTTTAAGTAATTTTCATTTAACAACTCTTCCCTACATTCTGTAAATGAATATTTAAGTATAAAATAAGTGTCGATTTTTAGTATTTACTGATATGTGCCAACACGTCAAAAATATTGAACTTTTTGGTGTACCTAATCCTTCTCGAGAGGAAAGACGTATACTTTGCAACAGATCATCAGGCTCTGATCAAAGCCATATGCTTAATCTCAACTCATCAGAACATGACAGTGTCAGTATCTGCAATAATATGTTTTTTAGTAATAGTTATATATTCTTCTTTTTAATCATTTATATTTGAAACTATATACAGCTTGTTATGTTATCGTAATAGTAATGCTTGTAAGCTTTCTCTTTTATTTGGTATAAATATAAGACTTGTTATTCTTGTAAACTTTGTATAAAATATGTTCTCTATATAATCTTCTCTCTCTCTTTCTCTTTCATCTATAACAGGAGTCTGATGAATCATCAAAAAAGCGAAAGAAGATAGAACCATCAAATGTTGAAAAGACTCAAGCTTCGCTCAAGTCGCATATTAAATAAAAAAAGCGGAAAAAGACTGAACCATCAAATGTCGGAAATACTCGAGCTTTACTTCAGTCGCAAATTGAAAATTTATCAACAAATTTTGTTAAGAAATCTTCTCAGGTACATTTAATATTGTCTTATGTATTTGGAGAAAAATACTACATTTTTTGCGTACGCAAAACTTTAAATATTTAAAATTAAATATGCATTTTTTTATTCTTCCTCCGTTCATGTTTTTTTCAAGAAAGCACAATTTATAAAATTAATTTAATAAAATTAATTTAATAATTAACTTGGAAAGAAAAAGGGTACAATTAGAATAATTTGTGTAATAAATAAGTTTTGCTTGATAAAAATCAGCGTTTGCGTAAAGTTATCTGCGCTTAACTCCTAGTGCCTTTTTTCTTTCCAAGTTAATTTTGAATTGTACGGGAGTTTTTATTATCAAAGAATTATTATATAATTTAATTTAATAAGTCTTACTTTAGGATTTTTATCTATTTCTAGATTGATTTAATAAGCAGTGATGATGAGGAGAATGACGAAGACGGTTCCATGTTTAAATGGACTAAAATTAAACTAATGGATTTTTTTTAATAAATACTTTGAAAATGGATAACAAAAAACTAAGACAAGATAATGCAAGATTACGAGTATTAAGAACTATTAATGAAGGTAAAAGGTCTTGTGAAATGTAAATAACTGCTGTAACGCCTGTAACTATTTATTTTACATCTTATTGTCCGTTCTTTTGGTTTAATTCTAGATTTACATAAAATGACTGGTTTGTCATCAACTATATTTAAAAATATGGATAGATTGCGCAGAAACATTGATTCTCTGTGTATTAAAACTGGTCAAAGCAATAAGAAGAACGTAAGTAGTGACAACACTAATAATAATGAGAAACGAAGTTACTCAAATAAAAATGAACAAAAAGAAAATAATATTAGTAACATTGCTGGAACTACTTTGGAAGTTGTTAAAACACAGGGCGAGGTAAATCTTTTTATACGATGACAATAAACTTTATTTGTTATTTCTTTTGTGTGTATGTGTGTTTGTGTGCGTGCGTGCGTGTGCGTGTGTGTGTGTAGTGTACAAGGTATTTCACGACCACCTGCTCACTGTAGATTCCTAAAGTAATTTTGAGACAAAATAAATCTAATACTAAATCGTCGAAGCTGCAATAGTTTTTAAATTAATAAATTAATTAAAATTCTCTAATCACAGAGCTGACATTTTGCTCGCTTAGGTAAGATAATGTGACAATTGATGAAGGGGTGTTTCAGGACCCTCTCAGCAACTTCAAAATTATCATAAATATGCAATAATATTTTTATTAAGAATTGTTCTTGATCCCATACGTAATCTATTTATACATTACGAATGCATAATAATTATGCGTACATAATATATAAATAGATTCCATATGGAATTTAATAAAAATAAAAATATTACATATTAATAATAATAAAAATATTGCATATTATATCTGAAAGGGCCCTGAAGCACTTTCACTAATTGTCATATCATCATGTCTGAGCGCGCAAAATGTCAGCTCTGTATAGGTATATAGGGTAGAAGTACCGATTTTGGTCACCTTAGTACCGGTTTTCGTCTTTCATTCACCGTGAACTTTATTTTATTGAAACGTGAAGAAACACACATTATTTCAAATGTTGCTAAAATAGACAAATTACTATTTGGTATCGTCATTGATCATATGTAGACACAAAAAATCCCTAAAAATATTTGTAGTGGCCGGTACTCCTACCCTAGATGTATGTTAAAATATTAAATAATCGATATTCAATATAAATCTATTTTTTAATTCAGAACAATTACTCCAACATCCACGCAGAGAAGAGCTTTATCATAAAAGTTCTTGATGTAGATAAACTTCAGCACGACTATGATACAGTTATTAATAACAAGGTTTTTATGAATTGTTAATAATTAATTCGTATTTAACACTCTTTTTAATAAGGAGTAATAATAGGAACACCATTTTGATTTTAATAAAGGTTTACGATAAAGCTAGACTGACTTTGATAAGCAATGTGTTACCAAGGTCTCATTTATGTCACAGAGAATGCTTAATAAACATATCTAAGGCGATAATAGTGTGAAATCTTATTCTTTATTGTATTTATCCTTTAGCTAAATATATTGAACTAAAAAACGTAATTGAGTAAAATTTTTCTAATGTTTGCTAAATAATACAAAATGTTTCGTGATTATTGATAGATTCTATTATAAACACCATGTTAGATACTTTTACTTTATTAAGCTCAAGATATATTGAAGTAGTCTTAATTTGTGTGTTAGCTGTTATTGTCTTATTATATGCCTATATTCCTACTGTATTCTTTTTATACTGTGTAACTTTTAACTGCAGGTAAACTCAGAAACAGAAACAAAAACTTGGTACCACACGTAGATTTTTCAAGAATTTGAAGTTATAGTAAACATTAAATCAACGTAACATTATTGAAATATTATTCATGATTTTGTTTTATGTCACCACATACGTTCAAGCAAATAATTTGTCAAATATTCTTGTGCAAACTACTTGTGCAAATTTATTTGAATGTGTGTGTCAGAAAACTGCAGTTATTTCGATTTGCACATTTTTGACACACACGTTCAAATAAAATTCCACTATAGCAGCTTGTACAAGCATATTTGACAAATTTGTTTAAACATGTGTGGTCGGTCTTAAACGATGATTATATCAAGATTTGATTAGTAATTATACTTTGGCTTTCAAAATTCATCATCGCAACAGATATTATTTGCTGATATACAGCAACCAGCTGCAGAGCAGTTTCTGGATAAATCAACCATTATATTAACTACCGCTATAGTAGAGGTAGCTAATATTTATTTTGCGCGCTTCAGATATACTTATATATTTATAAAAATATTATATCTTTTTAAAATATACATTTTTCTTTATTTCTATTTTATATTCTATTTTCTTTATTTCTATTTATATAGGAAGACATTACAGATTTTGCGGGTAGATATGTACAGACCGAAAAGTTAAAAAGACTCAGTCGCAGCAAGCTATCTCTATTCACAGCTTCTGTTATGGATCTTGTTTTCACAGATGAGGAAATGGCCAATTCCAGTATGACTGGATTAACGAGCAATTTCTTTCGAGGAAAAGGTAAATTCCATACAGAAGATGTGAAAGTCAAATCAGAGTTGAATCTTCAAGTGAAGAGGGCAGTGACGGGTAAGATACTACTATATACTGATTATTTTACAAGTTGAAATTCTAATTAACATTCTCTTTATTTTCAAGAACTTTCTATTTTATAATAATGATTATTTTTAATTCCCACAGAGTATATTCTAAAAGAATTTGATTGTCCCAAAGAAGGACCATTACACAAAGCTGCAATAGCAGAAATTTTCAAAGCAATGAAAAGTAAATTAAATAATAAATCTAATACATGGTGAAACAAACAAAATAATCAAAAGAAAGTGGAACCAGTAATTCATCAATAACAACAATGATTAATATTAAAGAAAGGAAGATTCAGCCTATAAGAGCGTTACGAACCTTCAAATAGTTTTTTATCTTAACTAATGATTTTTACTAATCTTATCATTCTTATTAATTTTCTATTAATTTTATCTTTACTAATGATTTACTAAATTTATTTAGAGAGGGATTTTTGATAATTTTAATTATACTTAATTGCAATTATAATGCAAATTATAATGAAAATTGCAAATATTTTATTTTCAATTTTTCAAAAAAAAATATATATATTATATAATAAAATAAAGTAAAAAATTGTATAGTATATAATACGTACGTATATTATGTAATTAATTATATTAATAAATAATTATATACAATAATATACTAATAGTATATATATATAATATATAGTTATTTATTATGTACTGATCTCACAATCAGTTTATACATATATTATCCAGTAGTACTTAATATTACTCCACGAAAATAATCCTGCCAGTATTCGCAATCATTTATTACTGAATATTCTTTAGTGCTCTCAGTACTATATTACAAAATAATAGTACTGAACGTACTAAAAAATTTCAGTAATAAATTACTGCAAATACTGGCATTCTATTATTTTGGCGAGTACTTCGGTAATACTGGGTAGTACTCAATTACTGAAAATATATATTTCTAGTAATTTAGTACTACCCAGTATTATCGAAGTACTCACCAAAATAATACTGCCAGTATTTGCAGTAATTTATTACTGAAATTTTTTTTAGTACTTTTAGTATTACTTTTCTATAAGGGAAGTAAAAGGAAAAAAATTTTTAGACGTTAAATGGGTATATACAAAAAAATCAGATGATAGATATAAAGCTAGGCTAGTTGTAAGGGGCTTCCAACAAACTGATGTAATTGAGGACATATACGCTCCAGTAGCAAAAAATCAAACGTTAAAAATTTTGCTTTCTTATTGTTGTAAAAATAGTTTAAAAATCGAACAAATGGATGTAGAAACTGCATTTTTAAACGGAAAAGTAAAATCGGAGGTATATGTCCATCAACCAAAAGGTTACGAAGACGGCACGAATAGAGTATACAAATTGTCAAAAGCGTTGTATGGATTGAGAGAGTCCTAGAGACTGGTATGAGTGTTTTGATGAGTGCATTACAAAAGTTCGTTTTAAAAGAAGTAATGTAGATCTCTGTTTATATAAAAAAGGAAAAGAGAATGATGAAATTTATGTTTTGATTTACGTAGATGATTTATTAATTTGTAGTAAAAGCAAGGAAAAAATATTAAGTATTAAGAAACTCTTGACAGATAGATTTAAAATGAAAGAGTTAGGAGAAGTCAAAGAGTATCTTGGAATAAATATAGATTATAATTATCGAAAAAAAGAACTCACTCTAACATAAGTCAAATGAAATATATAGAGTCACTAGCCGATAAGTATAAAATTCAAAATAGTAAATTGTATAGTACTCCAATGGAAGCAAATTTAAAACTTGGAAAGGCTGAAAGCTGCGAGTCAAACATAAAATATAGAAATTTAATAGGTGCTTTGCTATACATTAGTTCAAGTACGAGACCAGATATAAGTTACAGCGTCAATTATCTTAGTAGATATCAAAATAATTATAATGAAACGCATTGGAAATATGCCTTGCGAATTTTGAAATATCTGTATTTAACGAAAGATTTAGTTTTACGTTATAAAAAAAATGAAAATTGCGATATTATAAATTGTTATGTTGATGCTGATTGGGCAGGCGACAATACTGATCGGAACTCTACGTCAGGATACGCAATAAAATTATTTGGAAATGTAATTGATTGGAAATCAAGAAAACAAAAGTGTATAACCAAAGCTTCGACATATGCAGAGTATGTAGCATTATCTGAAGTAGTAAGCGAGATAAAGTATATAAGAGAATTAGTAAAAATATTCGACATAGATATAAAGGAACCGATAAAAATTTAAGAAGATAATTCAGGGGCAATAAATATTGCTAATAATGGTAATTTTACGAGAAATTCTAAACACATTGAGATACATTATCATTTTGTACATGAGAGTGTAAAAGAAAAACTGATTGATGTTCATAAAATAGACTCGAATGAGAATGTTGCGGATATTTTTACTAAAGCACTCTGTAAGGAGAAATTTGAAAAATTTAGATTTAACTTAAATGTTGTATGAAATAATAATAAAAAAAGAGGAAGGTAAAGAATATAGTACAAATGTAAGGAGGCGTGTTGAAATATATTATACATTTGACTGTATTCACATTAAAGGAAAGCAAAACAATGAGTCGCGCGTAGAATAAGTGAGAGCATGAACGAGTGTATGAGGGGAACACATACATATAAGTCACTCCTCTTGTAGCATGTATGTGTGAGTATCACGCGATTGCCAGAGTTGCCGAAACGGCCGACTGAGCGTTAGCAGATAGAAATGAGTCGTCGCCGACTACACATCTTGATAAAATCGCATTATATTAACAGAAATTTATAATAAAAGTAAAAGCAATTAGTGAAGTGAGTTATGGCGCTGTGTTTTTACAAAAAACACTCTGTTTTTATCCAATACTCAAATAAACAGCCGGGAACTAGTTTCTTATATGGCTAAATGGAGTAAATTTAAAATAATTTAGTTGCAAAATTAAGATAGTACAACAAAATAAAATGAAAAATTGAATTATTTACATTTTTAACTTCAACTTTATTAAGGAAAAAATAAAGACCGAATGGGATTCGAATTTCCATATACATCGATAAAAAATCCGACGCTTTGTTCGATTGAGAAATGGAGCATCTTTGAAGAAGCGATAAAACGACATTAACGACATTATTAATGTCGTTAACGACATTCTGCTAACATTTTACTTTCTGGGGACATATGTTATCAAGATGAAGGTCCTGATAGTAAAGCCTGTGAAAACAGACTAGGTGCAGAGCCTGTCGAACATTTTTGATTGCAGATTGGCAACAAATTGTAGACATGTATTATCAGATATTGTTAGCAAACTGCTGCTAAACAATGGTCGTAGGCCTCGTCTCGGCCGTTGACAAATTAAAGTGACGGTGCGCCTTACAATAGAGCTTAAATATTAACATACTCGATTACAAGCGTTACATGGGAATTCCGCCCGCCATGGCAGAATCCTTTTCTTCCTCGGTATTAAGGTCAACGGGTAGAAAACAAAGTTTCGCTGTTGGCCGTTTGTATTCTGAACGACTGGTTTTTACAGTCACGACACGAGTCAGCTCATCGTTTCCAGGATGACACCTTATGATACGCCCGAGTTCCCAATGACTCGGGGGCGCTAACTCGTTACGCACTAAGACGATTTGACCAACCTTAGCAAGCCGCAGGACGGTGCGCCATTTTGGACGCTGTTGAAGGGTATGCAAGTAATCCCTTGACCAAGACCTCCAAAATTCTTCCGCTATGCGTTGAACCATTTGCCAGCGCGACAATCGGTTCTCCTTTAAATTAAGCACACTAGGTTCAGCCGGAGCTAGGATGGGAGTTCCTATCAAAAAATGACCGGGTGTGATCGCATGATAATCGTCGAGATTATTGGAAACTGGGGCTATCGGACGCGAATTGAGGCATGCCTCGATCCGACAGAGAAGTGTCGACATTTCCTCGTAGGTTAGGGTGTATCGACCGATGCAACGTCTTAGGTGATGTTTAACGCTTTTAACGCCGGCCTCCCATAAACCGCCAAAGTGCGGTGCTGCGGGGGGTATGCCACTCGGTTTTGTCGGTCGCAAGATGGTTTCGAAAATTCGGATCGCGAATTGCCCTCGCATGGGCATCGAATAATTCTCGATTGGCGCCGTGGAAGGTTGTGCCGTTATCGGAATACATTGAGTTCGGTTGTCCGCGACGGGACACAAATCGCTGATATGCGGCAATAAAGGCAGAGGACGTATAATCGCTGACAAGCTCCACATGCAGAGCCTTGGTTGTGAGACACACGAACAGCGCGATATATGCCTTTTGCGACCTATGTCCTCGCCCGGATTTCACTCGGACATTGATGGGACCTGCATAATCGACACCGGTATGCGCAAATGCGCGAGCGGCACGATTGACTCTCTCAGCCGGGAGGTCGCCCATGAGTTCGACTGGTTTCTCGGCGCGTTCACGCGTGCATTGGATGCACTTGTAAAGAACGAATCGAACGGTAGCGCGAGACCGTAGAATCCAAAACTCAGCTCGCAATGATGTGAGCGATAATTGAGAGCCGGCATGCATCATTCTTAAGTGATGATGCCTGATAAGGAGTGCGACAAGCGGATGTGCGCGCAAGACAATGGGATTCTTTGCTGTGCCTGGTAGGCTTGATCGACGGAGTCTTCCTCGAATTCGAAGGAGTCCCTCTTCATCATAGTAAGGGTTGAGGGATGACAGGGCGCTGCCTTTTGGTAATGGACGCTGCTTGCTTAGAGCTGCGATCTCTTTTGGGAACTTATCCGACTGCATCCTTTTGAGCCAATGACTCTTAGCTTTCTGAATTTCTTCGGGGAGTAACGTATTGATATGAGGTTTTGTTTTGTTAGGGGCACGAAGTCGCGTGATAAAGCGGTACAGGTAAGCGGTGACCCGTAGCAATTTTGGCCATGAAGAATACCGCGTTTCGAGATCCCATGATGGGGAGGCGAGTAATGACAAGACTGGAGGATCTGATCGTTGTTCGAGAGTCACATCGGACGGTATCGAATGGCGTGATTCTGGCCATGACTCGGGAGGGTTTTGCAGCCATGGAGGGCCTTTCCACCACAAGTCATGTTTCTTGAACACGTTGGGATTTAGACCGCGTGATGCGCAATCAGCGGGATTGTTTTGCGTCGGGACATGATGCCAAGGAACTCCTGGGAGAAGATATTGGACAGTCGAAACCCGATTGGCGACGAACGTCTCCCATCTGGACGGTGACTGATTTAATCAGGCTAGAGTGATAGTGGAGTCCGTCCAGCAATGACACTCGAGATTTGGGAGTTAGAGCGATGTGTGGGTGTAATGAATTAAGCGTGCTAGTAGCACGGCAGCGGATAACTCTAATCGCGGAACGCTTAGCGTTTTAAGCGGTGCCACCCTAGATTTAGCGATTAAAAGGGAGACGGTAATTAAACTGTTTTGATCCACGGTCCGGAGATACACTACCGCGGCGAAGGCTGACGTCGAAGTGTCGGAAAATCCATGCAAGGCTATGTGTCTTGCGTTGGATACCGATGTAGTCCAGCGCGGAATACTCAAATCATTGAGATGCGAAAGTAATTCGTGGTAGTCGGACCACTCCTTAAGATGTTGGCGAGGGATTTCTTCGTCCCACTCACATTGAAGGGCCCACAATTTTTGCATGAATATTTTTGCGATAATAATAACGGGAGTCGCCCATCCTAATGGGTCGAAAAACTTCGCGATAGTCGACATAATGGCTCGTTTAGTTTTATCGGTTGATGCTGGTAAAGTTACACGAAATTGGAAAATGTCTAATTTAGGATTCCAGATTATTCCTAATACTTTAAGGCTCTCATTGTTCTGCAGAAATTTATGAGTTGCTAAACCGTGATCGGTGGGGTCGAGATCAGCGATCAGATCATTTACGTTGCTCGCCCATTTTCTTAGGTGAAAGCCTCCTCTTCTTAACAACTCGACTAATTGATCGCGTTTTTGACGAGCGAGAGTTGGATCATCTGCACCGAAAACGCAATCATCAACATAAGTCTGATGACCAAGAACGTAAGCGGCGAGTGGTAATTCGGCTCCTTCGTCTTCTATGAGTTGGTTCAAAACTCGAAGGGCTAAGTAGGGAGCGGCAGCTGTGCCATAGGTAACTGTAAGAAGACGGTACTCCGTGATGAGGGTGGCATGCGGTCGCCACACAATTCGTTGGTAATCGGTATCCCGAGGGTCGATTAGAATTTGCCGGTACATCTTGGCGATATCGACTATAAACACATAACGGTATTGACGCCACTGCAATAGAATCGCAGCTAAATCCTTTTGAAGTTTGGGGCCGATGAGCATATGGTCGTTGAGTGACAGTCCGTTTGAGGTTCGGCATGAGGCATTGAAAACGACTCGAAGGCGGGTTGTAGCACTGCTATCACATAGGACCGCATGATGCGGAATATAATAGGCTTGCTCTTGATTGGCAATTTCGGAGAGTGAACTTTTGGTCATATGACCGAGGGTTTCGTACTCTGCTAGAAAATCAGAGTACTCGGATGCTTTTCTGGGATCTCGACATAGTCGGCGATCCAACCGGTGTAGGCTGGTAATGGCGTTCTGACGCGATTCACCTAACGAAATGGGAGGTCCGTTTTTAAACGGTAATCGGACGACGTAACGTCCTTCCGGCGTGCGGGAATGTGTTGTTCGGAAGTGCTCTTCGCACTGGTGCTCCTCAGGGCTTCGAATTTCCAGCTGGGGAACCTCATCAATTTCCCAAAAGCGACGAAGATCGCGATCGAGACTTTCGAGAACGACTCCGTGATGTGCAAGATGGAAGCCTTTTGATTCATCAGTTTGAACCGAAGCGGTTGGTCCTGAGAGGATCCAACCTAGAGTCGTATTTTGCGCGGTGGGTTTATTCTCGTTACCCTGTCGGACTCCCTCAAGAACCAACATCCCGACTAGATCAGCGCCGATTATGACATCGATTGGTTCCGAACTCATGAGGTCGCGATCGGCAAGTTGGAGCCCTGTTAAGTGTTTCCAATTATAGTCACTCCGGACGCGACTTGGCATGTATTTAGTCAATGACCGAAGTATAAGCGCTGTTGTCGTGTATGCAGGTCCCTCGCTGCTCGCTGGGGTAATTGTAATTTGGGCCGCGTGACGCGCTACGGACTGCATCTCGCTAATGCCTGTGATGAACACAGAACGATTCATCCTCGATAATCGTAAGCGTTGCGCAAGCGATTCGGTTATAAAGGTGGATACAGATCCTTGATCAAGAAGCGCACGCACGGTAATGAACCGGTTATGAGGGGAATAAACTCTTATTAATGCTGTCGCGAGTAAGATTTGAGATTTCGGTGCCACGGTTTTTGAGATTAAATGAGACGTGATATGAGTCGAATTCTCACTGCTTGCGGGAGTCGTTGTCGACGGTTGCTCCGATTCGACATGCGGCGCGGAGGCATCGAAATGCAATAACGTGTGATGCCGTTTACTACACCTTTTGCACGCGCGAGTGCTTTTGCAGTCTTTCACTGAGTGTTTGACACCAAAACAATTGGAGCACCGTTTTTGAGTTTTGATAAACTCAAAACGCTGGGATGGAGTCTGCTTTAAGAATGTAGGACATTGGTATAATAAATGATTCTCCTTACAAAGTGTACACGAAAACGGAGCGGCGGACGCGATATGCGAGGCGAGTGTTCGCTTTTTGGAATTCGGGGGTGACTTCTCGGTTTGAGTCGCCGGTGCTAATGCATCGAGTGCGCGGATGCGAGCTGCGAGGAAGCTGTCAAGCTCGTGATAACTTGGATACTCTACGGCATCGCCAAGCTTAAGTTCCCAAGCCTTCCGTGAAGACTTATCAAGTTTCTGCGCCACTAGAAAAACAAGTAAATCACTCCAATGCTCGGTAGCGCAACCGAGATTACTGAGAGCTTGTATCGCTTTGTTAGTTTGATCGCGAATATTACGAAGATTGTTGGAGGTCTCGTACGTGCAAGTTGGCAAATTGAAAAGCGAAGTTAAATGTGTCGTAATAAGACGACGCTTATTGTCGTAACGCGACAGGAGAATATTCCATACTATTTCAAAGTTACTATTCGTAACTGCAAGGTGGTCAAGAGCATTACGCGCACTCCCTTCTACACAAGAACTTAAATAATGCATGCGATCGACATTAGTTAAAGTACAATCATCGTAAATCATCGACTTAAATTTATC